GTGCTGAACCCTGCCCTATGTACCTTTTCATCCAGCTGTCAACGTCTATCATTTATAATAGCTGGGATTATAAGTGTAGTGCTTTCTTGAGGTATGTGGATTGTTCTGGGTAATTATTAAGCCTGAGTAAGAGTCAGGGAACGCCCCAATTTTCAGGTAAGCAGGCAGAAGTGCAGGTAAGATGGGAAGCCCACTGTGGCTTGTGTAGGAAGTAGGGACAGTCTTGTGGAACCAAACCTTTTATTTATAGGATCTTCCCTAAGTTACTGTCAAAATTGAATTATAGAATGCATATTTGTATTAGAAAATCAGAAAACTGAAACTGTTACTAGCAAAATGTTTTCCGCTCTGGTCTTTGTGCTCCTTGAGAACCTTCTTCTCCCTGTGCTAAGCACAATGCTTTCATAAAATAAAAATTTAATGAATATTAAGTTCTTTACAGTCACAGGCTGTAAGGAATTTAAAACTAAAATGATAAAAGTATATAGGTTATAGAAATACTAAGATAGTATACTTAAATTCCATAAAATAAAGTTCTATTAATTTTTTAAAATTGTTTTTATTGAATTTTTGTGCATTTCATATAGAACATCTCAGTTAATCTTAATCATCTTTATATCCTCATCCCCACTGGCACCCTCCCATTACACCCCCCCATTAGAATTCATACATTCTGTCATTTGTGTTAAGGCCTATTGTGTTAAGTTAGTGTCCCCAGACATTCCTCAGTGCAAGTTCATCTACTGAGGTCTAGTCAGCCTATCTGTAGTCCCTTAATTTAGTAAGACCAGCTCTTCCTCACTTAGCAGTAATCAGTTGCCAGTATTTCTTCAGCTAAGATTGGGATCCACTATTCTTTTCCCCAGTTCTCTGCTGGGTTTTTGTCTGCATGGGACTTGTGTATGCTGACATCTTTGCTGTAGATTCATATGAGCAAGGTCCCAGAGCTTGTAAGACTCTACATGAGCCATATGGTTGTGCACATCCTCCCTGGCTCTTACAGTCTTTCTGTCCCCTCTTCCGTGATGCTCCCTGAGCCCTGGGTGGGTGGAGTTTAACAAAGGAGTCCTGTCCAATAACCAGCATTCTTCAGACTCTTAATCTCTACACTTTGGCCATTTGTGACCTTTTGTGTTCCTGGTCCTCTGTTGCATGATGGAGCTTCATTAATGAGAGTTGAGAGATTCATCCGTGATCTCTTTACCCCTGTTCTATGTTCCATGAGCCTTAAGTGTAGTGGTTGCATTGCAGATGTGTCACTTAGGCCTGGGCAATTCATAGACAATATCTGTGTGTGACCAGTTGTGGTACCTGGTAATAGTTTCCATCTGGTGCAAAAGAAGCTTCTTTGATGAGTGGTGACTGGGATATTTGTCCGTAAATATAAGGACACATATTTAGTTCTATTAATATTTTTAAGGAGAGAAACTTGGTGTGGTGGTAAAAACCCATAATTCCAGGTATTTGTGAAGCCAAAGTAGGACAACTGCAAGTTGTTAGTCTGAACTACACCATAAGTTAAAGGCCAACCTAGACAACTTAGAAATAATTTAATTTTTTTCACACACTGTGGCATGCCCACAGCTGCACAGCCACACAATAAATAAATACTTTAAAAAAAGAAAGGAAAAAATGGTTTTTTTTGTCTTTTTTGAGACAGAGTTTCCCTGTAGCCCCAGCTGTCCTGGAACTCACTATGTAGACCAGGCTGGCCTCGAACTCACAGTGATCTACCTGCCTCTGCCTCCTGAGTGCTGGGATTAAAAAAGAAGAAAGTTTTAACAACTAGAGATGTAGCCTAGAATGAGGGAAGCCTTGGTTTAATCTCCAGTACTGCCATATATATGGAGAGAGAGAGAGAGAAAGAGAGAGAGAGAGAGAGGAGAGACAGAGAGAAAGAGAGACAGAGAGAAAGGGAGAGAGAGATCAACAATTCCAATGTATGGAATAGGAAGACATTGCTCTTGCACATCAATTTTAGTGTCAGAGCGTATAGTCACATAAAACAACAAACTGAGAAACTAAACCACTGACTCTTCCTCTCATGATTATCCACCTGGAGAACCCTTTCTCCTACCCAACACAGGAGCCATTCTGATGCCAAGTCTATAAGGATTGCATAAAAAATAACACAGCACCAAGGAAGCTCAAAGAGGCTTAGCTCCAGATCAGGGACCAGACAAGGATGTTGCAGAATTTGGCCTGGGAGCACTGCATCAAGTTGAAGGTGGGACCTAGCCACTTTGGAAAGTCTTGTTTCTTTTAGCCTCTGAGTTCATCTCATTAGAGATGGGACAGTAGACAAAATTCACATAAAAAATTCACCTAAAATTTAAATCGTCTAAAAATGATGAAAAAGAAAGGAAAAGGTGGAATCCTTTCCCAAATCCATGGAAGAACACACCAGAAGGCAGCCAACAAACCTTACTATAATCACAGCACATAAATATGTTCCACTTTGGCAACAAATAATGGTCAAGAATGCAATGTATACTTTTCTTTCTTTGTGTCTGTGGAGTGTATGTGTGTATACATGTTCATGTGTATGCATGCTCATATGGAGGCCAGAGGTCAATGTTAGGTGCCTTCCTCTATCATTTTCCACCTTATTTTTTGAGGCAGAATCTCTCATTGAATCTGGAGTTCACCTATTTGGCTACACTTGCTGACCAGCAAGCCTCAGCCATCCTCCTGTCTCCCTTGCACTGAGAATAACAGGTGCCTGCATAGCTGTGCAGGGCTTTTCACATGAGTGCTGAGGATCCAAACTCAGGTCCTCATATTTGTGTGGACTTTGCCAGCTGAGCCATCTTCCAGGCCCCTGCAATGTAGACATTTCAAATAACCTCTTTGGACTGTCATCTGCTTAAGTCTAGCAGCGCTGGGAAGAAGGCAGTCATTAATATAGTTCTACAATAGCTCACATGCTGTCAATCAATTAAGTTGAGAGGACTTAAATTTAGAGCAATTCTACCCCCAGCAGAAACTCTACATAAATTCTCTTCTTCCTTTCCTAAAGTCTTAGGCAGACTCTCAGGTCAGTATTCACAAATGGATTATTAGACTCAGGATATTTCTTTTGAAAACTGCTGCAAAGATGAGACAGAACAGTGGCATCCTGAAGCGACTTTTCCAACTGACTTTGCCACTTACTCAGAAGCTGGAAACACATGAGTGTACTTTTATTTTAGAACAACAGAAAGTCACTGACAAACAGAAAGCCAGCCAGGCAGCAGTAAATGAAATCACCTCACTTTAGTGATGGAAAGAGCTAGGGAAACTACCTGTTTGAAAAATACAGCATGGAAACATATATCGGTGTTGTAGATAAGGGCCGGGGATTATGGCTGTTGCTCTCTGCTACTGGAAAAAGGCTTAAGAATTGTAATCCAGAGACTGGAGAGATGGCTCAGCAGTTAAGAGCACTGGCTGCCCTTGCAGAGAACCGGGGTTTCCCAGCACCCACTTGGTGGTAGCAACCTTCTGTAACTCCAGTTCCAGGGGACCTGATGCCCTCTTCTGACCTCCAAGGGGCACTGCATGACATGGGTGCACTTATACACATGCAGGCAATACACTCATACACATAAAACAAAAATAATAAATAAAAATTTAAAAAGGATTATAATCCAAAGGATAGGCTGGAGAGATGGCTCAGCTCTTAAGAGCATATACTCCTCCTGCAGAGGACTGGAGTTGGTCTCCAGCAGCCATAACCGGTAGCTCTCAACCTCCTGAAACTACAGCTCCAGGGGATCCAACGACCTCTTCTGGACTTTGAGGCACCTGTACACAGACATACATAGACACACACACACACACACACACACACACACACACACACACAAACATACACACACACATTTAAAAATACATTTTTTAAAAGGTGTGTCAATGGGGCTGGAGAGACCACTTAGCAGTTAAGAGCAGTGGCTGCTCTTGCAGAAGACCCAGGTTCGGTTCCCAGACCAACATGGTAACTAACAGCCTTCTGTAACTCCAGTTCCAGGGGATCCAACGCCCTCTTCTGACTTCCACAGGCACTGCACAACCCCAGGCGCACTTAGATACATGCCGGCAATACACTCATACACATAAAAGTAAAAAGAAAAGAAAAGAATACACCCATACACATACAATTATATATATATTTAAGATGCGTCAAAGTCCTCAAACGTGAAGTTGGAGAATTTGGAGCGAAACTGGCAAGCCATGGATGTAGCAGATGATTGATATACATTCTTGTGGTTCTTGGGGCAGAGCTAAATCATCTCAGTCTAAAGGATTGGGAGTGCTTTCCAGACAACAATCTGGCTCTCATTTTTAGCAGGCAAGAGAAAGGCCGGGGCGCCCCCTGCTGCTTTTCTCCTGAAGCATCAGGCAACCAACCTGTGGTAACTGAGCTGTTGATATTCTGTAATACACCAGAATTCTGTGATACCAAAAATTCACTACACAGGCTTTAAGGAAAGAGGCCGAATGGATAATCCGACTCCCTAGAACACAAAAATCCACATGAGGGATTTACCCAGAGCCCCTCAGTGAGGAGTTAAATGGGATAACACAAGCAAGGTGCCTGATTCATAGCAAAATTCAGAGCTGGCTAGAATAGAGCGCCAGCGAGTTGTTTAGATGCAAGCTGTCTGCATCCTTTGGCTGACCGTCGAATTTAAGGTTCTCCCTTGAGTTACGAACGTCCTTAACCGTAGGAAGTCTTAATTCACATTAGATTTGGTCGCTCGGTGTTCTTTTTAGCTTTAAAAGGGAAGCATCGGGATGCAAATTAGTACTTCGGATTCAACATGTTTTCGCAGGTGTTTGTGCTAGAACTGCTCCGTATGAACAAACACTATCTTTCTGCGTTTCTTCTTAAGCTGATACAGACATCCTTACAGCGCTAAGCCACCTCGGGAACCACCCATCTGCCCAGCAGGAAACGGCCTCACAGGCGTCACTACGCAAGCCGCCTGCGGCCTGTCTCCCCCCCACCCCCAGGATGACGTCACCTAGCGGCGTCCAGCCCTCGCGCCATGCTGGCCCTGCGGTGCGCCGGGCACGCGTGGGGCTTGCGGGCGGTCGCGCCGGCGTGGCTGCGGGGTCCCCCGGGGCGTTCGCTGGTCCTGGCGCGCCCGGCAGGGGTGGCGGGCGCGAGGTACCAGCGGGAGCGGGAGGCCGTGATACCGCGCGAGCGCGCGCTCAGCCTGTCGGCCGCGGCGGTGGTGAACTCGGCGCCGCGCCCTCTGCAGCCCTACCTGCGCCTCATGCGGTTGGACAAACCCATCGGTGAGTGAGGTTGCTGCGCGCAGCCTTGGGATCTTCGACCTGCTTCCTGCCGGCCGATCCGGCATCCTAGGTCCAGGACCTGAGAATCCGAAGCCAAGCGTGGCTGATGCCCAGCGTCACGTAGCCTGGCGCAGATCACCTCCGGGCACTGTCAAGGGACCCGCTGACCTTCTCACCTCCTCAAGAGTGTGAGCCCCGGTGGCGGGCTGTGATGATGATGATGACTCCATAGATACCATCTAAACAGTGTTCCAACAAAACATTGCCTTCTCGTGGCCCTACACTTTCGAGTTGCAGGATTGAGGTACCTCTACAGTCAGAGTTCTTTATTCTGTCCGCAGTTCTAGAAAGCCCACGAGGCACACAGACAGTTGAAATGCTGAAGAAACCCAGACTCCTTGTTGGAGGCAGACCAGAAGGACCTAGTGTTTTGGTGTTGAGTTCTTTTTCCTATATCAGCAGTTACAAGGATTTTGGTGCTTTTGAAAGCAGTGGGTAGTGTTTCCAGATTGCCTAACAACGCCCATCCTCCTGCTGTGAGAATTTCCTTGGTCATCCGATTTAATTTAACACAGTTTCACTGTACTCTTTTATTTTCTGTTTTCTTGTATAGTGCTCATCACTCACTAACCTTGTGCATTTATTGACATCCAAGTTCCATACACGTTGGAACGTTTCTGACTAGTGCCTAGATCAGTGCCAGGCAGTAGTAAATGAAGTCCCCTCACTTTGTAATGGAAAGAGCAAGGGAAACTACTTGTTTCCAGAGAATTTGTTTCTGGTTGAACAAATAACAGTGTTGTAGATAGTGCTGCCAAAAAAAAAAGAAGGAAGGAGGGAGAGAGGGAGGGAGGCAGGAAAGAAAGAAAAAAAAAGAAACTGTTATGAATATCCATTACTGGAAAAAGCCTTAAGAATTGTACTCCAAAGGACAGGCTGCTTTAGAGGAGGAAGAAGATCTTGGAGAGAAAAATAGTTTTGCAAAAATTCCAGGGTAGCCAATTATAGTGGCTCGGGCCTGTAATCCCAGCACTCAGGAGGCTGAGGCAGGAGGACTGATCTAAGTTCCAAGATAGCCTGGGCTACATAGTCTGAAAAATTAAAAGAAAAAATAAAAAGCAACAAGTTGGTATTGAAATACTAAGAATATGAAATACCAGGAAGGTCTCGAAAATAGTGGGAGACAAGGCTGGACTGAAGGAGAGGCAGAGGCTGAACTCTAGCTAACAGATGTTGTTGTTTGAAATTTCTTTATGGAAGTACATTAAAATGTTTAGATGTATTCATTCTACCTTTGCTCATCCAAGACTCCCAGGGTGCTCTATTTGGGTATTGGTTGGTTTGTTTTGTTTTCAGATGGTCTTACTAGTATCTGCAGCAGGCCTTGCTTGAATGCTGTCTCTAGCCTCCTGTCTCAATCCCCCAAGTGCTGAGATTATAGGCATGCACTACCAGCCTGGGTAGACTTGGTTTTTCTTTTCTTTTTTAAAAATTAATTTTTGTCTTTTTGAGACAGGGTATCCCTCTAGCCCCAGTTGGCCTGGAACTCGCTATGTAGACCAGGTTGGCTTTGAACTCACAAAGGTCCATCTGCCTCTGCCTTCCAAGTGCTGGGATTAAAGACATGTACCACCCCCTGGTTTTTTGAGACCAGCCAGGTCTTGCTTTCTACCCCAGGCTGGCCTCCTCAGCCTAACAATATAATCCACACTGGCCTCAAACTTCAGATCTTGCCTCAGTGGCCCAAGTGGTTTGGGGGATGGGGAGAATGACCATGTCCAGCAAGGCTTTACATTTGATATTTTAGGTTTATTCTAGGCATTTGGCATTAAAGCTCAGAGTCACAGCAACCAGAGATTAAAGTGTAAAAGCCTACTAAACTGAAAGGTAGACCTGCCAACATTGGGATGATATGTATTATTCAGGGTGGAGCGTAACTATAATTCTGTTCTTGGATTCTGGATTACAGAACTACAGAGTAAGCTTACAGACATCTAAGAGGACCAGTAGCTGCATTAATTCTGTTTCCACAATTAAACACCTGGCTTTATCATAGTGGCAGATGTTCTGCCATGGTACAGAATGTTATACAGTGGTTATGAGCAAGTTCAGAGACAGACCCCATGTATTTGAACCTTCAGCTCCACTCACTGGAAGGACTGGTTAAATTGCTTCATGTCTCTGGGCTTTCATATCTTATCTATAAAAAGAGTACTAACAGACTATATGGCCATCATGAACAATCCTCAACCATAGTAAGTGCTTTGAACAGTGCCTTCATATAAGGGCTCAAGAAATATTAGCCATTATTACTTTGGAAGTGAGGATTAGAGAAAATTATGCTTATAGTTATGTAGCTTAAGACAATAACCTGGGCTGGAGAGATGGCTGTTCTTGCAGTAGACTGGGGTTCAGTTCCCAGCACCCATGTGGCAGCTGACACTCAACTGTAACTCTAGTTCCAGGGGGTCCAACACCTTCTTCTAGACTCCAGGCGCTTTGCACAACATGGATGCACTTACATGCAGGCAAAATAGTCATATACATAAAACAAAAACAATCAAATTTTTTTTTAAGATACAGCCTACATGTTTTGACTCTAAGATGAATCCTGGGTTTTTCAGAAAATGTAGGATTTGTTCAACAAACATTTTTGAGCACCTGCCATAGGCCAGGAACAATAATTGACATTAGTGGAATTTCTGGATTAGTATTTATGATTATTTTCTCCTGGGACAATTGCATATTATTGTTTGACTTTATTGATGTTATCTTATTAGCTTCATAGAGCAGTACCAGGCTGCATTGTTTTAGAGAAGGCAGTGCCAATATCAGTATAACGTCTTTATTCGCTGCTTTTTTTTTTTTTAATCACTGCTGGG